TCATTATTATCAGTATTTTTAAATGTATTTTAATGTTTTATGTAACTATTGGTTAGTACGTTGTGTCAATAAGTGTGATATTATGGTAACTTATGTTTTGTAGGCACCTTGTTTTAAATTAATAAAGTTGTTGCACACCGATAAATAAACTATATTTATATTATTCTCTATAATGTTCGGAAATAATGTAAAGCTGATATAAGGTAAAATTTAGATAAAATAATAATAATATGTTTTTTTCTTATGCTACACTGACAGTTAAGGCCTCCTGAATGCATCCAACATACATGCCCATCATATGCGTCCTATTTTATCTGTTAAGAACAACTGAATACTATTAGTTATATTATTCTATAGTTCTTGTAGTATAAATGTAATAATATTGTAAACTGATACGTGTGTGACACAGGCGAGTAGGACTCCCTTCTCCATACGACTGGTCTAAGGAATCTGCTGAATAAACCCTTTTTGAACGGGCGACCAGCTCGTATGCGGGGCTCGCACACGTAGTAGTTAGTGTTGGTGTTACAACAGACCATTACAGACCATTTTCAGAGTATTTATTATAATTAAACGTCATTACAATTAAATAAAGAATATTATTTTGAGCCAAAGTAATTTAAACTCGTTTTATTTTATTTGTGTGGAATCGCTAAGTGGTGCGTCCATAACATATCATCCAATCTCTTTGTTTCGTTGGTATTTGAAATATCAATTTTCAACATGTTTAACAAGATATTCTGTTTTGTTGTTTTTTTGATAGATTTCTGATAAGTTAATCGTACAAGACTTTCACATATTTTTATTAAGTTTTCGGAATAACAATATCAAAAGTTTCAGTTTTTAAACTTCAAGCTTCTGAGCAACAAAGAAAGTCCAGTGGTATGAAAACAGATTTGAATTTTTCGTCAAAATTACTTGAGATCGACTTCCCCGCATTTTTAATTTTTTGATTTTAACTTATCCTAACATGAAAATACGACAATGTTTAACTACTCTTTTTAATACAACAGATATTCAAATATGGAGGATAATTTCAAAAATGTAAAAGAGTTAGTCTCAAGACGTATAGTCTTGATGACAAATTCAAATCTGTTCTTCAGTTCTTATAGCTTCTTTAGAACAATACTAGTACGTTTGCAAAAAAACACTCCCTGTGTCATGAGCAGGGCTAGGATTTGTATGCAATAAAAAATTGTAAAATATGCATTTATTATTTACCAAAATATGCAAAAATATGCATTTTAATTTTTATAAGATAAACACAAAAATATAGTTACAAAAAAAAGATTTATTTATTGAAATACAGGTTGGCTGTTTGTCTTAAAAATAAAATAAAATAATTTAAAATTTATAAAATTTATAATTCGCATTGACTACGTGTGTTACATGCTACAACCGCATATTTTTTCAAATTTTCGAAAATGAATGCTCGGCGATTAGATCGTAGTATGGCTTTGTATTGACTGAAGCTCCGTTCAACGTCACATGATGTAGTTGGCTCGTATTTAAGTAAAGACATTTGTCCTGGTGTTAGGTTACAACTGAAATTGTCCTCATCCGATTCACCATTTAATATTTTATTTATTGATTGTAGAGTTTTAAATCCTTTATTTTTTTGTAAAATCAAGGTTAATTTGTTCTTAACTTTATCTGCGACTCTTCCGTTACACTCAAGAAGTCGATCCCTTGCGTTTATTATAATCTGTAGACTTTCATGAAGTGTTAAACTCTTGTTTTGTAGTTTAATTATAACTTGGGATAAATAGCAAAAATTACTTTTAATATATGCTAAATCATTTTTTAAATTTTGATTATCAAATAATTCTTTAGCTTTTTTTATCGAATCTGATTCGTCATCTAATTCTGAGATCACAGATTTAATTGAATTGAAATTATCTACATAATACGTTACTGCAGTCAACCACGTTGCCCATCTTGTCAACACTGGTTTTGGAGGTAAAGGTAAATTTGGAAACATTTCACGTAAGGTTGATGACTCATGAGTGTGTAAAAAAGGCAGAAAATTGCGGTATTTAATCCCCATAAAATACATTATTATTTTTTTTTTTTTTTTTTAATTGATCCTGAGCCCGGCAACTGTGGCCATAAGCTATTAGTAGGTACTGTGGGTTTTTGTATTGATGGTTTGTATGTTTTTGGTACGGTAGGGGGAACACGTGTGTGTTTGTTTTGGCAGAATTTCGAATGGGGCACCCGTAGGTTTCTGCCATGCCCCGGGGGTGGGGGATGGCAGCACTTGTTCTCCGGTCACCGCGACTTGTCCGGAGAAAAATGCCGCCCGGTGGCCGAGGATCGAACCGCGACCGGCTGCGTCGCAGCGGAAGAGTCAGACCACTCGGTCACCTCGTCCCCCACATTATTATTATAATTTATATTGATCTATTGTATCAACAAGCGCAGAGTGCATACCTACAATACGCAAACTCGAAGCAACCTAAGCACCTCAGCAGTGTTGGGAAATATCTTGATAAATTTATTTAGGTAAAAATGATTTTTCTTTTATCTTATCTAGATAAATTTTAGAAAAGTTATATTTATCTTGTATCTAGACAGAATTCTAGTTATCTATGAGTACATATCTAGATAATTTATTAGTGGACTTCCAACTCCTATTACACGGGAAACAAACGTTTGGTAATATGTAATATCATATCAGGTATTCCAATAAGAATGTTTTTTATAATACTGGAATCTCACATCGTAAATATTGAAACGATCTAAAAGTATAAAATTATAAATATGTCATGTTTCTTAGTAACTTTAAAGAGCAACTAATAATAGCAAAATCGAAAACATCTATCCCTGCTGCCCGTATGACGATGGTCGTCTTCATTAGCTGATACTCATTTCTTAGAATTGTGTATAAAATGTAAACAAATAATAATTATCAATAGGTACTCATTGTGTTGAGCCGACGAAAATAAAACAACCTTCATGGACACACCACACACAAGCATAATATATTTATAGACTTTATATACTTATATATTTTATATTTATAATATCTACATAGTGATCATTACTCATTAGTGGTAGTTATTTATATTATTCCCAGTATTTAGAACTCGCCGTTCTCAGTTATCAACAAACTCAGTGACTTACTTTCTTGATTCTTCGTCGGAGAAAAATTGTTGAAAAACTACGATTTTCTTGTTATTTTTATTTCGTTTATTTGTTTTAATTATGAAACGGCTTGTGCAAGTTCTAAATGCTGGCCCATCAAAAATCCAAAAAAAAGACAATGATTCAAGTACGCAATCAACCGAAGAATCAACTAATCATCTAATAAATACTTCGAAATTGAAGTATTTCTAAAATAAAATACTACTATTCCATCCTCAGTACCAGTTTTGGCAATCCAAGTTTTGACACCCTGGTGTAATAGGTCAAACAATAGAACTTTGGATATGATTTTATGTTGTAGATCAAATATGTTATAAACCATTTTTTTTTTCAAATGTAACCTTATTTCTGTAATTATTTATCAAGTCAGAGAATGGCTCTTATTATATTCCTATGGAGTTTATTTAAAACATAAATTATTTTTTGTTAATTTTTAAAATGTTTTAAATGAGTTTAAAAAAGACATTTATTTGATTTTTTCAATAATATTATCCCATTTATTTAACTATTTATTAGGTCAGAAAATGACTCTTCGTATATTCTTATGAAGTTTGTCTATAAAATAAACTAGGTGTACTGTTTTTTAAAATGTTTTAAATTATGTAATTCTCTTTTTAATACCAGTACCACTGAATATTTTCAAAATTAAACATGAAATTTTCAGATATTTATCTGGATAAATATTTATTCATTTTTATCTTTATCTAGATAAAATTTAGTTTAGTTATCTTTATATTTATCTAGATAAAATTTAGTACTGTTATCTTTATCTAGATAAATTATTAGTTATCTATTCCCAACATTGCACCTCAGTCGACGTCAAGTTTCTTTTTACTCGTTGGTCGTTAGACAGCGCCCCCTAGTATAATACGTACCTATTTTGCCTATCCTATACGCCGTGTAAGAGTTAAGGTTTAGGCGAAATATTTAAAACAATTGATTATTAATCTTTATTTGTTATGTATACTTTATACTTATTAGCATTTACACTCATTTTAGAGTAGTTTATACTTTAGATATTGGTACCAAATATTTTACAAGTATATATTTTACTATCTAATATTTTATTGTACCATTTATAATAATTCACCTTAAAACCCTTTGACGAGTGGATATAATTTGGTATCGATTGCTCAGAGAGTGAATTTTTTTTTTTTAAATATTGGAATTTTACTTTAATTAAAGACGTCATTTGACGTTTTAGGTATTTGTGTTATAATAGTAAAGACGTCATTTGAAGTTTTAGATATTTGCCTTCAAATAGTAAAGACACACAGCTGTGTTTGACTTATTTCTATCATACATTTTTTCTCAACCTAATGGCATGTTAACAGATTGGAAATATACAATCACTGTTGTAAATAAGTCAAAAAATTTGTTCTAAAAAACTAGAATAAGTAACAACAAATAATTTTTATAAACAATATGTACTTAAGTATTAAGAAATAAAAAAGGTGCCTACCTCTAATTTTGATATTTTTACCTGCATTTTACCAAAGTAAATTTCGAGATACTCGAGTATATTTAATATTTAGGCAAACTAATAATCTCATAGTCGCCGCCCGCAATCTATGTTTTCGCTGCAAATTATTGTTAATAAGGCAGACTTAAATCGGTTTGAATAAGTTCATAGTATAGGTAAACAAGTAGGTTAAAATTTATTTAAATACTTGTAAAATTACATTATGAGTATTTTAAGTATTTTTGGTATTTTTTTACTTGCAATTGCACACTATTCAACTGCACATAGGTAATCTACGGTATTTGTTCGTTTTTTATTTAGCGGAATATTATACTATTTAGGCCTTTTTGTTTTTCCTTTCCTTGTTTTTATTTTATTTTTATTTTTTTCTCTACCTGTTTAATGACGGTCCGTGATAATTCCCAGCTGACGCGTCGAACACTACGCGTAATTTACTATCATCAACTTCCGGCCGATACACGGCGTGGTGCGGGATATAATACGTGCCCGGTGACGTTGCAATCGACATGTGTCCTAATGATAAATAATCGCGCATGAAACTAATATACAATTCCCGGAGTTTACGGTCCCGCGATAACTTGCGCTCTAGCGATTCGAAACGTCGTACAGCAGTGTCCCGTGACCCGACGAATACGTCATCGCATACTGGAGCACGAAACGGTAACGGTACCGAGAACCGACCCGACGGTAGGCGCACGTGTTCATTGCGGAAAATAGACTCACATCGCCCTTCATCTGTAAAACTCTCGGGTGCGGTAACCGGCTCCTCCACGTGCCAGAATTTTTCCATTAACCCTTCAATAGATACTGTCAAGGATACCGGCATTGAGTGATAGGTAGGTACATCGACATCAGATACGGGGCCAATCAGTACCCAACCAAAAACTGAGCTAAACGCTGCGGGAAGATTTTCGTCTACCACCACTTTTCGACCGTCCATTATCGACGGGAATACGTCCCCACCTAACAACAAATCTACGGGAGAGGGAACGTCGAACGACGGATCGGCCAACGCTAGATTTGTATAACGGCCCTTCTCGGTATGAGGCAAAGCACTGCGCGGCATATCAGCCGTAATCGACGGTAACACCCATGCATGTATTGCTAATACGGGTTCAATCGCAAAACGAGGTTGTACGGACAATTCAACACGACCTTGTACATTTACAATAGGCGCGCCACCTAAACCAGTCACCGGGGAAGTCCACCGCTCACATTTTAAGCCTAGACGGTCAGCACACATCACCGTAATTGACATTTTGAAAGACGATTGAAACAATTTGCAAGCCATTGATCTACTTAATCATAAAACCAAAAAATCTTAGGGTGTCCGCTCAAACTATCAACACAAATTAAAATAATTATTCAATGTGGTACTGGAGTCATGTGCGAATTTCGGAAAATTCTCTTGCGGACGAAATATTGGCTTTGAAATTATTATGACCCCCTTGGAAATCGTTGCTAATTGGCTGCTAAATTATGGTTCAATAATTATTTTAAAATGTGTTTTCAATAATACGGATGGCTTTGGACATGAGTCTCCAGCCCCACCCTTAGATTTTTGGTTTTATTATTCTTCTAAATGGAGACTTGATTAATGAATAATTTCAACATTTTGATTGGGTGGTGTTGAGGACATGAACATACCAGTCCACATACCTGAATATCGAAGCGTTAGATTAACGTCCCGTTGTTCCACAACGACTATTTGTTCTAGTACCACGTCACCGAGTCCGATTTACCGATCAGCAGCAACTTCAGTGGTGGTGGTCCACTCCATCCCATATATCAGTATTATCCACGAAGATCATCGTCTTTGCATCGTACTGTAAGAACCGGCTCGCCAGGACAGTCGTGTACGAGCCTCTATAATAGTCTGGCCAACGCACTCACGACACTCGATGCTCCAACATCTGTTTATACTTTATAAATTCTACATAAATACTCATCAGATATATGGAAAAGAATTCCAACGACTCTTCATTTCCCAAGGCAACCGGTCTTTCAGACCAAACTACTTCAGAATATTTATTAATCATTTTTAAACACATAAAATGAAATGATATTAATATGATTAATATTAATCTTGTTTTTTTTTCTTTTTATCCAGTTCATGGTATGAAACATTTTTGGTGTTTATTCTCTCATCGATCTATATAAATCATTTTTGTTAGAAATTAATAGTCATTTTTATTTCTTAATGGTTTTTTTTTAATCAAATGATAATTTAATTAACTTTCTATTTGAATTACTATTGTATAGTGATTATGATACCAAGTTGTATATCACACAGAAATACAAAAAATATAATTAATCAATAAAATAAGAAATTGCAATACAAATTAAAACCAATTTAATTATTTCGATCAACAACAGAAATGGCTTAAATATTTGTCTTCAATTTATTAAATACTATTTACATAAATCACTAGATTTATTATAAATCGTAATATTTTATGAATATTTTATAATTTTGTTATTAAACTTATGAATTATAACCGAGTATTTTCTTTTGAATAGAAGTGGGTAAGTTATTAAATTTAAATAACTATGAATTAGCGTATTCTACAGGGAAACAGCTGGTTTAAAACACATATTGTATTAGCAACGACGGCGGGTGTGTACACCCAGTGCGAATAAGCGACTGAATGTAGACAGACACAGCGTTTCACACTAAGTTTCTTATTCAATTTATTTTTAGCTATTATTTTATATTATTAAAAAAATCTAGATGAATCTTACATGTGTATAAACCATAAAGTGTAAAACTCCAATGTTTACTGTTTTTTAATATCAAATATAATTTAGATAGTACCTACCTGTGCATTTTTTCAACATTCAATTTTCATGGCTTTTAAAATAAAAAATATCTGATTAGCATAACTAGATAATTCAATTTCAAAATTGGTTTTAAACCATTGTTATTTTTAAATCATTCTATGGTTTTAGAGAAAAACAATATTATAAATATCTTATAATTAATAATTCTAATTAAAATCAAATAAAATATAAAAACAACCTACATACAACTTTTATTCTATTACAGACTACCGTAAGTTATCTGCTTATATATTATTGCCAACAGCTGATAGTATTTTTGTCCTGTGAAATTCAGCAATACTAAATTAAGGCCGTTAGTGAGTTGCGGCCCGAGTGATAATCGATTAAATCATAATAGTGTTTGATCGTAAATGATTAACTAGATCTCAAAGTCTTGTTACAAGCTATTTCTCATCACATGATATTTTGGAGTACCTATTTCATTTTATTCAAGATCAGGTTAGGTCAAGGCCAGGGTCTGGTAAATGTGTGCCTTTTAAATGGTCATTATAGTGTGTGCGGCTGTATGTAAAAGAAATAGCGAAGTGCACCCGCGTGGGGTGTAGAAGTCGACGATTCTTGGTTGAAATAATTGTCCGTTAGCAATCCCTTGCATAGATGTAAAGTGTGAACTATTATGGCCGCGATTCGGACGTCCCTCCCATAATCCTCGGCGAAATGCATACATTCCTTTAATAAACGAGGGTCTCAACTCATACTTGATTTAGAAATTGAGCTGTAACTCATTATCACCCAAATTCAATTTTTTTAGTTTTTCATTTATCAATATTTTGATCAATTTCGATTCCATTTATTTAACTAAGTACTCTGCATCTAAGATTTTACGGCAAGACCATTTATAGTATCACATAAATAACAAATTATTATTTATCTTTTTTACTAGCAATACTAACAATTAGTACGTATAAATTCAATTTATTTTAATGTAAAATGTACCTATTTATCTAACCATTTAGTTTAATTTTTAACTATGAAAACCATAAAAAAAATTTTAAAAATTTTAATTTATTGAACGGTGATATAATTTTAATAATTTAATTTAAAATTAAAATTATTTGATTATTTAATTTGATGATTCGTGTAAACTGTCCGTAACAATCAAACAATAATATTTACGTAGTACAATTTTGATTTAGATAATAAATAAGCAACTGGAAAGAATACACACACTGGATAAATAAATATATTCTAATTTAATATTATTCTCTGTTTTAACCAATAAATGCATATAATAAATACACAAAAACATTTAGTATTATTTCCTGTTTGATACAATTCAGTATGGAAGTCATTGAAGGGATATTTATTACCTACTAAACACTTTTAGTATAACATTAAAATTCTTTACTATAATTTATTTATAATCAATGGTATTAGCTATAAATAAAATATTAGTTATCATTATGCGTAGGTATAGCCAAGTAGATTATCATTGGATTTTCGTTTTTTCATTCCATAAGCTTTATTCGGTATTTGGCATATGCTAATGGTCTACTACCTAAATAGGTACTAAGGTTACTTATACTACCTATGAGGGTAACTAAATAAAAATGAAGTTAATAATATTTTTTGAGTCTGGAGGTAATTCGTGAGCGCCCATTCTAACGGCCGGTTATCAAAACGAACCATCCACCGATATCGAGTCAAAACCCGATGGGTCAAACTCTGAAATTTAATAAAAAGAAATTGCTTATTTTTTTAAGCAATTCAAAGTATATTATGCGTTATGACTTTTAAATGTTTATGGATATTTCTTTAATCGAATGTACGTTGTACCTAGTTGAATATTATTGGTAGTGCTTAATTTTCTGAAACTTATGTTTTTTTAATTTTAAAATTTGAGCCACTACTTTTGACATAATATGAGTATCGACCCTCATAAATTTCGACAATTCTTTAATGATGTTGGTAAAAAAGTCTAATTATTAAGGCGTCTACTCTAAAAAACCGATAAATTCGAACTTTTCTATAATAGGTTTTCAATGAAATAGATCTTTTAAAATGGTATACTTAAGAGGATGAATCACTGAGTGTTGCTTTAATATTGCACTATTTGAGTTCACACCAAACGAAAAACTATTTTTAGTAGAGACAGACTCTAAACTAATAGTGAAGTATAGGAATATATTTATAGACTTTGATGTTTAAAAATACATTCTGAGTTAACTTCTAACAACAAAATATTTTTCACATTTTTGTGATTTTGGAGAATTTCAGCAATGCAAGCTTTTGTAAGCTTAAAAAAAATGAAAAACACCAATAGGTGTAATACTGCTGTATGATTCTGATATTTTTTCTATTGATTTGACTTACAAACAAAAATTTTAACTATCAAAAAATGATTGTAAACAATGCTGATGGTTTTAAATTTAAATACCTGTAAATAGTACCTATAGAGAATCAAAATATTATGACAATTACATCGTGTTTATTATTGTATTATGTCTATCAATTACTAACATAAATATTAAAAGAACATTTTAAGTTAGTACCTTGACAAAAAAATCGTTTCCTAAATATTCCTTTCTTTCTGTAATTTAAATTAACCTTCCAATATGGACGGTTTTCTATTTACTATAGGAATCTTATCTCAGAGTTGACGATTAAATAACTTTTTAGTTTTACCAATTTAAGGTGAAGAAAAAAAATTATTGTAAATTCAATACTTTCGTGGCTCTCTATTTTTCTTACATACCTCGTTGGCAAAAAACGCAAAATCAAACTAATCGGTTGTCAAATCGTTGTACTAATTCGCAAGATTTTTAAATTTCCTTTGTAATCTATCTCATATAGTAACAATCATCCTATACACAGATTACTTCAACAAATTAGTTTAGTTTTTGGCCACTATCATAACCTTTTGATTGTATCTAACAGTTTATGATTGTTACACAAAGCGTGTAAATATATTTGTCAAATGCTTTATAACGAGAAAATAAAATAAAAAAGGTAATGTATTTTAATTATTGAGTTATAAATTATGTTAGTAGTTTAGTACTACAAAAAAGAATAATGTATTATTTTATAATGCTTTTGAAATTATTTTATTTTTTATGTTTCAAAAATTAGCAGAAATTAAATAATGTAATATTTATTAATCATTAAATTCATAAAATATACATTTGATCATAATAATATAAATAAAAAAGGCGCTACACAAGAAGGACATAAATAATAAAATATTTAGATAAATAGTAATTTGTATGTGTATTGTTATTAATTATTATTAAGTAAAAAAAAATTCCAACAAAAAATTATTTGCACAGGGCAAACTTATTAATTATTAAGCTTGTGCTTAAATATTTTACTTTTGATCCAATTAGATTATTAGGATGTTAGTTATATTATATGTGCAGTCTTTCCTCTGGATCTGAAAACAAAATTTATTGTATAAATAAGAATTATAATTAAATAGTTGCATAAATTGTTACTTACCGGAGAAATTAATACATAGAAACTTTTAATATCCTCTAGTATTGACCTAAAATAAATTAAATTATTAAGTAAACAACTATTCAACTATTAATTGAGTTATGTTTTTGTACACAAATCATTACTTACAATATCATCAATTTTCAAAATGCTGCGCACGGTCTCTGAAGCCAAAGTTATAGCACTAATGGATACCAACAACGGTTGTACAACATTTTCTTCTAGAATATTAGTTATTGCTCCCTCCAAAATACAATTAAAAAGTTAGTTTATGCATATACTTCAGATATTTATTATTTTTAACACCTACCTTTCGGACATTAATACCCGCAGTAACTTCGCCTTGAGAATGTCTATTACGCAACTCAGTAACTGTGGTTATGGGGTTAAGACCAGCATTTTCAGCCAATGTTAAAGGTATGACTTCTAAAGCTTGGGCAAAAGCTCTATAACAGTAAGCATCGACCCCAGTAACTAATCTTGCTAGTTCAGCTAATTTTAAACTGATTTCGATTTCAGGTGCACCACCTCCAGCTAACAATGCTCTAAAATGATTCAAAATTCATACAAAAATACAAAATTGATAATACACTCTTCAATGACTCACCTGTGTTTCACTAAACATCTGATAACACACAATGCATCATGAATTGATCGTTCAGCTTCTTCCAAGACCAATTTATTAGAACCTCGCACTATGATACTAACTGTTCTACCTGGATTGTTGATGCCAGTGATTTGTACAAAATGACTATTACCAGTCATGACATCTTCCACCAGGTCTGCTGATACAAGGTTTTCAGCGACAAAGTGATCAAGACTTGCAATTGGTCTACAATTCAATGTCTAGAATATAATTATAACAAATTATTTTCATACAGATTTATTTTTTTAAATTTCAATAATATACCTTGCAGACATAATCAATATCCTCTCTCTCTATATTGTTGATAACCATACATTTAATCTTGTCTAAGAAATGTATAGCCAATTCAGACAATGCATCACGCAGTATTGACTTTTGAATCAATAAGACATTACAACCAGCTTTTTTAATTTGTTTAACAATGTTCAAAATGTAAGCACGTTCTTCACGTAATACACGATCCATAGCAGTGTAATCGGAAACCACTACATTATAATCCATCTAAAACAAAAACAAAGTTAATTATTAAAACATTGCTTAAAATAATCATTTAATGACGTACAAATTATATAACCTGATTACATAAAATAATATTATTTAATAATTATAAGCAATTATATTCACTTAAAGACTCAATAATAAGTAATAACTCCATAAATATTTTAAAATATTTTTAATGAAATAAAACCTCAACCAAGATAATTCTTCTAAGATCTATATCTAAAAGTTAGTACTCCGATTACGTTCAGGAATCAAATAAATAATATCAGTAAATACAATTTCTAATCAGAAATATTTATCTATTTATTTCGTCGAATTATAACATGGATGATTTGATTATCATGTCATGTAATTAGTAATTTATGATAAACATTATGTACATTAAGTAATATAAGTTAAAATTAAAATCATTGATATAACAATATCAGAATTTATAAATTCATTATCATTGAAATAATAGCTTTAAAAAAATGGATTATTATTTGTTCATTGTATATTAAAAATTTTTTTTATAAATTATTAGTTAATATATTATGTATAATCAATTTGATCTAAAGTAAAAAAAAATAACAATAACAAGTTCAACACAAAAAAACGCATTTTAAAAATACAAAGATATAAAATATAACAGTTTTTACATTACCATAAAATAAAAAGATCAAAATCATAGCATAGTTTGAAGTATCACATAATTAACTACACATGAATACAATATATTACACAATTACGTAAAATGTAAACTATTAATGCATTTACATTCAAAATAAATAATATACAAATTATAGTAGATAATACATATTTTATTTAGTACATAACAATTATTTATTCATAGGTAAAATTTGTTTCTCATTAGACATAAAACAATCTTTTAATATGATTTTTCTGACCAAAAAAACCATTGACAATGTAAGAGTCAATAACGACGTCCACTTCAACAATATCTCACCAAGGTTGATACTAATAGAAGTCTGTTGAAGAGTTCTCTTGATGTCGTCAGGAAGTTTGTCAACTTTCACTTCTATCCATGCTACTGGCAGTATTATTCCCTGCTTGAAATTTTTGAAATGTGATATCCCATCGGCTTTCTTTAACATGATATTGACTTGAAACCTGGACCGACCTCCCAAGGATACTCCTAACTTCGAATGAATATCAATAAAGGTCTCGTGCAGCTCAGGATCTGGCGACAGCCCGAGAATGTCTCTTCTCAGCTCCGGGTCGCCCAAATAGAAGTGCGGGAACGACATCATTACCGGAGCGCCGTTGCATGGCGACGAATTGAACACTCCCGATGGAGGAGACGTTTCCGAGGTGTAATAACAGTCGTTATCCGGGTTTGTGTTGGGTGTATCAAACACGTTTCTGGGCGCCTGGAAACGGAATGCTGTCACCCCGGGCACCGTTTCGATGTCTTCCTTGTAGACCAGTGGGAACCGACGACACAAGTCCATGTGGAACACGAACAGTTTCGACTTGCGATTCAACGTGGTCGGTGGAAACTGGGACCCATCGCTGCCGTCCAACCGGTTGCACTCGTCTGTCTTCCACACGTCCAGTGCGTCCAGCCCGTTGTAGCGGGTGATGACGCCGAGCTCGTTCAGGTTGCCGACTCCACTGTGGATCGTGATCCGGTCGGACGACGCGCCGCGCCGCCCAGTAACTATGCCGAATTTGGACAGCTGGGCGTCCCTGTGCACTGTCGACGCCAGGCTTTGAGCCAGAGTGTATATGCTATCCTCGTAGCCCCAAAAGTAGTCGTCAATCTTTAGATCCAGGAACGGTTTCACCTTGAACCCGTCCAAAAACAACGACATGAACTTTTGGGTAAGGTAAAACGTGTCGGCGCTCTTCGATATGGCGCTGATTAGCGGCAAGTTCGGTACGGTTATGGTCAATCGTTTCGGGTCGCCTTGCGACATCTCTGGCACGAACTCGTTACTCCGCCGCTCCTGATATGTGACCGTACCGTTGGCGTTGAACTCCACGTTAATCCGTTCGACAGTCTCTTTGTAGACGAACGGTCCTAGCTCTTGGACTATGGGCGTATCGCCGTATTTCAGCACCCGATTGATGTTGGTATAGTTGAACGGGTAAATCGACACGTAAGGCTTGACGGGCGGGTTTTGCCACATGTTGTATGAGGCGCTACCCTGCGTTATGGTCACGAACTGTAAGATTTGGAACATGTAGAACTCCGTGAACCACATGATGATCGTAAATATTCCACTCAGGCCGATCAACACGACCAGAAACACAAAACCCGAAGGTATCGAATTGCTGCCGGTTTCATAGAGCTCCTGATTTTTGGTCGACGAACGCTCGCGCTCAAGAGTGCCAATTTTTATAATACCGCTGTTGCAGAATTTCAGCTTTTCGAGTAATTTTACGGCCGACCATCCGCCACTAGCGGCGTTCATTTTTAAATCGTTTGATTTTTCACACGTTCCTTGCAACATTTTAAACAATCGAGTCTCCTACGACGTATAAATTTGTACTCGGTAAGATATTTCACGTATAAACACAACACTGTAAAACTTTCTCGGATACCCGGAATATTGCAATTTGAAGTGTTAATTCATTTTTAATATTAAAATATGTTTAATGGAACATCGTTTCTTTACAACAATACTAGCAGTCTTGTTTCAGTAAATAATAAATGTATACTGTGGTTAATTATCACTAATATTTTTTTTATTTCCTACGTGCTACATAGATAAATAGACATTGGACTTGATGATAAACATTTACAGCTCAATGACGAATGGTTCGTTTCGGAATAGCTCTCAATAAAAACAATGTAGAATAATAGTTAGAACAAAAGATTGAAATTGAAATCTTATTCAAGATCAAAGGGTATCGAGCGTACAATAATAAATTATACGTTTTTAGTCAACATTCACACCTTGTGAAGTATTTCTGTGTAATTCTATCACATGCATAAAACCAATAACTAAAATGTATATCGAATGAACATATTTAAATAGATAATTATAAATCAACATAACCTATAAAAACGTTTTAATACGAATAAATGTGAAAAATGTAAGAAAAACTTCAACCTAAAATGTATTTATAAGCCTATTATTTATAAGAAAATTTTTTTAAAAAATATAAAGGTAAAATTATTGAATTATTTACCACCCAGTCAAGTGTCACAAATAGGTGGCTTCTTATTCAAAATTTGCTTTTTAATTTTATTCTGTCATTGCATATGTATACTTATTGTGCTTAAAGGTACAAGTTGTGCATTTCTTTAAGTAAAAAAAATAATATATTTCCAATTAAATTAACATTAGAACAATGTTACTTTAGATGTAAGTTTTAACCATAAATCACATATATGATATATCGCTAATCTAGCATGTTATCATATGTTACAAACATTAAACATTATACATTAACGGTAAAAACTACAAAAAAAAAATTATTTTATTTTCAAACAAATTATTTAATACTCAGATAAAAAGCACAAATCATTCGACTTGAGTCGTAATTAGGTGTCCTAAGGCTTTTTGTCATCATTATAAATTAAAATCATAATTTTTTTATAATACACCAGATTTTCTGTATAATGTTTCTACTCAATCATCTAATAAGATGTAGTACAGGTGTCCTAAGTTCAATTCATCATTGTCGTTTTAACAATGTTAAATGTGTCATCATACAGAAATTGATTAAAACTCGTAAAATAAAAATTGAACGTGTAAAGTTGTACTTTAATTTGTTCTAATCAAGAGCTATGACAGTAATATTTGATAATATTTAAACAAGAATCATAATTTTCAAATGTCCGTCTAGCACAGTATTGGTAATAGCTTATAAGTAATAACTGAAGACCAAATTTTTATGTTTTTACACATTGATAATGGGTCTATGCAGTCTTAAAACATGTGGATGATTCGTTAAAGTCTGAGTTCGTAGAAAAAAGTTTTTTTTGTGTAGTTGAGAATATTTAACTCTATAGCATACTTTGGACTATTTTTCATAAATTGTGGAAAAAAATATTTATTTATTATTAATTTTAATATTATGGTACAAGAACATTTTTTTTATCATTTTGTTAAAAGAAACACAGTGTTATAGGCTTATAGCACTTAATCATAAGTTTTTGTACCGTTCACTAAACATGTTGGCTATCCTGCACAGTTATATTCATACTGTATAAGCATACGTGTATCAAAAATTCAAAATTCAAATGTCCAAATTTTGTTTTACACTTTTCAACTTTTATAAATACATATTTTTCCATGACAATTGATTATTAGTTTTTAAAATAAACAAATTAAAAATATCAATCACTTATAAATACTTTTAACGAAAAGTGGAACCATTCAACAAAAATACATTGTTTTAACAGTGGACAGCAATTGTGATTATATTCCTACTCTAGCTGAAGTCCAATAGTTTACCATTATAATATACATATGAATATCTCACAATTAAAACAATGTTGTGAAATAAAAATTGTTAAAAATGCATATTAAAGCATAAATTGATGTATATTGATTATTTTGGCACATATTTCAAATTTGAAGGAGAAAGTGAATATTAGAATATTAGCATCATATATTGATATAAATCAATATAAATAAAGTTTTTAATAATAATTAATTATTAATTATTGTTCATTAAGCTCATTGTTAAATATTTAATGATATAACAATTATTACTCAGATAAAAAGCAAAAATCATTCGACTTGTGTCGTAATTAGGTGTCCTAAGGCTTTTTGTCATCATTATAAATATTTTAAGGTCCATTTAATTCTCAGTTCTTTTTTATTATACGAAACACACAGTTTGACTTTTATACTGAATCATCTGCGAAGATATTTAAAAATCACAATTCATTTGACTTTTATATTACAACTAAACAACTAAAATCTTTATTCCTTGTTTAAAATAATAAATAGTTCATAGTACCCAATAAAAAATAAATATTGAGTGTATAGAATATATTATTGTTTATATATATTTATATTTAATATAATCCAAGACTGAAGAATAAACTGTAATCAACTAAAGGTTGTAATGGGTACAAATTATGTGTAAAGGGGAATTTATAATAATTTTAAATGCATGCAAGATTTCTATAGTATACACTGCAAGCAACATAGTAATTTATAATATTTAAATACTAATCACGGAGATCATAAGCATCCGCAGAAGAAAGATAAAAAAAACCAAATCTAACCCCACAAGATCCTCCATCAAAGTACTTATATAATACAGTTTTTATAAATATTTTCAGCAAGCAATTTATTTCATATTATTAAGAAATACAATTATATTGTATAAAAAAGATATTGTATAGTATTATATTATACATAGGTATATTATATATTTTTAATAATAACAGATAAAACATTTTTAACTATGGTTACTGGTTTATTCTGTGACAATACTAATTTCTTATACGATACCTAACAACAAATAAGTCCTAAAATCCTACAAATTTATTTAACAAATAAGAACAAATGAAATGGTTCACATTTTGTGGTGGAAAAACCATTTTTTTCAGTGTCTGCTTAGGTTTAAAATTATTTATTACTACGCCAGTAACAGGTTGCACTGATAAAAGATCCATCTCAAAACCAGATATTGATTAATTCTCAAGAAAGATTAGATGGACTTCTAATATGTTTATTGAACAGGATCAAACATATAGTGTTTATTATGAAGATTTCATAGAGTTTAATAAAGTATTAAATCCTACTGTCAAAAGATAAATGGATATTTAGTGAATTAAATTATTTTAAAAGGTAAGATATTTAAACTATGTTATTTTTAATAAGAAAACTATTGTTATTAAAAAAGGGTACTTGTTGAAAACTGTAATTAGTATATTTAAACTAAATGTATAGTTTGTATAGATCAATATACTAGGAATAATAGAATTACAAAACTACAGCCATGAAGGAAGTGGAGTCCAGACGCCTAGACCTCCACCTCAGCTACAGTATTGCCTCACGTGTCAAGAGAAACTGTCCAAGAATATGACTAAGATACTTATTTTAAATCAAAAAATAGTGATAATGATTAAGTGCCCCAAGGTGTATAGTATGTGTCATCTTACAGTGATAAGATAAAGCAAATAAAATGAATCAATTAAACTTAAAAACGGCTAGTCAAATCTATGTTATAAAAATCAATGACTAATGGTTGTAACATCAGAAAAAATTTTAATTAGAATCATAATTTTCATATGTCCCTATCTAGCATAATGTCATCATGTGTCACAAACATTAATAGTAAAAAAAAACTAACATATTATTTTATTTTCAAACAAATTTTTTGATAGTCAGATAAAAAGCACAAATCATTCGACTTGTGTCGTAATTAGGTGTCCTAAGGCTTATTGTCATCATTATAAATTAAAATCATAATTCTCTTTATTTATACCAGACTTTCAGAATAATATTTATACTCAATCACCTGAAAAGATGTCGTACAGGTGTCCTAAGTTCAATTCATCATAGTCAATTCATTAATATTAATTTGTAATAGTCAACATTAATCAAAAATAAATTTAAATCTATGATAGTAATTGTAATTAGGTGTTCTAAGCTTAACGCCATCATGCAGATATTGATTAAGGCTAATAAAATAAATAATTTTCTTTTAAAGTAGTACTTCAATTTGTTTTAATTAAGCTTTAATGGTAGTAATATCAGATACAATTTAAATTAGAATCATAATTTTCATATGTCCCTATCTAGCATAATGTCATCATGTCATATACAATATTGGTAATAACTAATTATTTATTATTGTTCATTAAGCTCATTAATAAATATTTAATGATATAACAATTATTTCTCAGATAAAAAGCACAAATCATTCGACTTGTGTCGTAATTAGGTGTCCTAAGGCTTATTGTCATCATTATAAATTAAAATCATAATTCTCTTTATTTATACCAGACTTTCAGAATAATATTTATACTCAATCACCTGAAAAGATGTCGTACAGGTGTCCTAAGTTCAATTCATCATAGTCAATTCATTAATATTAATTTGTAATAGTCAACATTAATCAAAAATAAATTTAAATCTATGATAGTAATTGTAATTAGGTGTTCTAAGCTTAACGCCATCATGCAGATATTGATTAAGGCTAATAAAATAAATAATTTTCTTTTAAAGTAGTACTTCAATTTGTTTTAATTAAGCTTTAATGGTAGTAATATCAGATACAATTTAAATTAGAATCATAATTTTCATATGTCCCTATCTAGCATAATGTCATCATGTCATATACAATATTGGTAATAACTAATTATTTATTATTGTTCATTAAGCTCATTAATAAATATTTAATGATATAACAATTATTTCTCAGATAAAAAGCACAAATCATTCGACTTGTGTCGTAATTAGGTGTCCTAAGGCTTATTGTCATCATTATAAATTAAAATCATAATTCTCTTTATTTATACCAGACTTTCAGAATAATATTTATACTCAATCACCTGAAAAGATGTCGTACAGGTGTCCTAAGTTCAATTCATCATAGTCAATTCATTAATATTAATTTGTAATAGTCAACATTAATCAAAAATAAATTTAAATCTATGATAGTAATTGTAATTAGGTGTTCTAAGCTTAACGCCATCATGCAGATATTGATTAAGGCTAATAAAATAAATAATTTTCTTTTAAAGTAGTACTTCAATTTGTTTTAATTAAGCTTTAATGGTAGTAATATCAGATACAATTTAAATTAGAATCATAATTTTCATATGTCCCTATCTAGCATAATGTCATCATGTCATATACAATATTGGTAATAACTAATTATTTATTATTGTTCATTAAGCTCATTAATAAATATTTAATGATATAACAATTATTTCTCAGATAAAAAGCACAAATCATTCGACTTGTGTCGTAATTAGGTGTCCTAAGGCTTATTGTCATCATTATAAATTAAAATCATAATTCTCTTTATTTATACCAGACTTTCAGAATAATATTTATACTCAATCACCTGAAAAGATGTCGTACA